TTAATTAACCACTATTTGTTTTATATATATATATATATACTATGGAATAATAGACTCAAAGCCCAAACTAAAAGATATTTTGACCAAGAAGGTTCTTGTAAGTCTTCCTTTGTTTTAAGATATCAAATATACTGGATTAAGATATGGAAATGCAAAGTTCAAAAAGCTTACATGCAAAGAAAAATTCAGTTATAATCAGATTTTAAGATATATATATAGTAGGTAGAGTAAAGACACTTGTCGAAGAATAAATGGAAGAAACTAAAAATTGAAAGAAGCATAGCTGAATAGACAACAAAATGTATAGGGTGTGACCAATGAACAAAAAGATGAGAGAAGAAAAAGGGATAAGATTCATTATATGAATGATGAAGCCAGCACAAATGTATGATCTACGCCACAAGATACATCAAGAGCCTCAGCTGGAAGAGCGATCTGAGCAGGATAAGTCTGCCCAATGATAGACACAGATCCAGAAGAGCTCCGCGAGGTTGATCGAATCGAATCACCGAGGCCGAGACAAGATAGGCAACCTCGAGGAGCTCCCCATGACCAAAGAAGACCATGCGAGCTACGCGCTACAAAGTGATGTAGACCTGCATAAAGACCAACAAGTTTATGTGATGAAGAGTCTTTCTGATCAGAATGTGACAACGATGACTTTGAAGATGAATCAGAGTGAATGAGATTAGAATCAGCAGAATAAGTTGGTAAAGCTGTCGGGAATAGGTATGGAGGAATCATAGTGGGACGAGGAGCATATTCGACCAAGGGTCCAAGACCTATTCGGCCGAATCCCCAAACGAAGACCTGAATTCGATGAAAAATAATCAAATAAAATGTAAAAGTAATTAAAAAAATATATGAGTTATATTCGCTCTATTTCGTTTAAGGTAGAGCTGACGTTTCAAATGAGTTTCCCAAAGCCTTGCCTTCCCAAAAGGTGTTCTCGTAGAGGATCGACTGCAGTTTCAAATTCGCTTAGGTCTTATCAACGCCCTCAGTGGGAGTCAAAGCAGTGCAGCACGTGATGTCGACACGCTAACCAATACGCCACATTGCCACGAGTGCCTTTGGGTCGCAGGGAAGATATGAATTTTAAGGAAGGTTAGACATTTTCCCGTATCGCACTTTATGGTGAGATTGTCGATAAAGCAAACTTATATTTGCTATAACAATCTACTACATTATTTATATTTCGGTTGTGACTGGGTTTTTAAGAATACCAGTATATCAGATCTAACTAACTCATAGATCTGTGTAATTGATAGTCTCGAAATCCCACCCAAAAAGGAAATAGAATTAAAGAAAGCATGACATAAGTAACCAATGAATATTCTATTTAAAATTAACAAAGTTAATGTACAACATTTTCAAGTCAATCAGCTTGATACAGAAAATAAATAAAAGAGAATGCCATGCGTTTAAAGATTTCTAAGGCCTTTATTTCAGGTAGATTTGACAAAGGCAAGCTGTTGCTATGCGACATTGTATAATCTCATTAAAAAGAAATCTCGAAAGATATTCCTTAACAAGGATAAAAAGTCATCTAATTCACAATGCAGTCATCAAAAGAGCTACATGCTAATCAAGCATTGTGTGAAGTGCAAATAGTCTTTGGAAGTATAGAAGCCCTTAACTTTGTGATCCTATGTCCTTCCTGATATCCATTACAAACTAATACTCTTCACTACTATCATTATTAACACTAATACACAACTTTTGCCTTGACCCTTATGTTAATGGACGTTATTTTGATTGTATATATGAAGTCCAAGATTTGGTCAGTTTCCTTTCGCCGTGTAGAGGTGGCTTTAGTTAGTTTTAGCAAAGGTCGCGTCTTCATGGCGACTTAATTAAATGCACCCTACCCGAAGTCCCCTACTTTAATAGTTATGATAATCCACAGCGTCAGACCGTGGACTTGCAACATTTCCAGATGTCTCGCAGGCATCATTAATGAGCATTGCCATTATTAACTGTAAAGCTTAAGAGGCATGTAAGGTCAATATCTTGACCAACCTTATGTCGAATTGTTACGTTATCACTTAACTTTCTGTCCTGATACAACTACCTACTGCCTATCTTTGTATTTAGCTCCCTGCTAACAAAACTTATGATTTGCTTATATTCTACTTCTCGAGAGGTGCGCCCTTTTTGGCCAGTTTAGTAAGATGTTATCACACCTGCTTGCTTTCCTTGCCCCTTCCCTCTCTCTAGACTTTCTGAAATTGCTAATCCAACTTGACCTCATGGCCCCGAAGATGCGCTTCTTATCTTAATGGTCGACTGGTTTCGCTCGATTCCAATTATATTATAGGTTTTACTCAAGGCGTTATTTCTCATGGTCTGCCACAAAACTTTGGTAACACGGAAAGTATGGCCTTCCTGAGCAGGGCGCCTTGAATGCTGTTGCAAAAAAAGATGCTACATTCGGGTCTTCATGACCCCGATCAGTCTATGGCAGTAACATAACCACAAGATGCACTAAATACAGCCGGATAAGTGAATCATGCCACTTTGACCGTTTGATTCCCGCTGAGGGTGCTGATAAGACCTACGCGAGTTAGAA